GGGCTCCTGGCCTCACTACTAGGAGCAAGGACGCTACTAGGGGCTCCTGGCCTCACTGCTAGGAGCAAGGGCGCCTGGCCTCACTACTAGGAGCAAGGACGCTACTAGGTGCTGGCCATACTACTAGTAACAAGAAGCTAGGGGCTCCTGGCCATACTACTAGGAGCAAGGACGCTACTAGGGGCTCCTGGCCTCACTACTAGGAGCAAGGACGCTACTAGGGGCTCCTGGCCTCACTACTAGGAGCAAGGACGCTACTAGGGGCTCCTGGCCATACTACTAGGAGCAAGGACGCTACTAGGGGCCACATGTTTTGGCTCACTACGGCCCGGTCACTACGTTCAGGCCTTGGCGACCAAGAACCAGCCCTTGGCGAAGTCCGCCTTGAGCTGAGTGGATCGCAGACCATCCTGGCTGGCTCTTGCAGCTGCTGGAGTGCTTTAAAAGTCAAAATTCAACTTGCAGTGGTGAAAAAAACCATCCAGCTGGCTGGAGACAGCCTGCTAGTTGTCCCTTTTCTTTCGCATCATCGAGAGGCCAACGCTTTGCGTGGGATCTCTTCGCTATCTTCTAAAGTGGGCTGGCACGATGAATGAATTCTGAACAGTGACCCATGGCTATGTAAACAGTCATGGAAGTGTTTTAGGCCAATGACACAAAACTGCATGGAGCCACCGCGGTGGAATTGCTACATAAAGGCAGTGCACTTCGCACCAAAGCCATTGCAACAAAACCACAAAAGTGAAATGACGGATTTCGTGGCAGGGAAAAGGACGGAGCGAACATGACTGAGTATATTCACAATAACTGTCATTGCAATGTTGATTTTGGATTGTATGAAATTGCTTGGCCATTTGGCATCAAACGGAAGCGCTTTAAGGTCGACAAAGACCAAGCCCATTGGGTAGCAACATCTCCTGGAATGCCCAGGAGTGACGTCGACCTTGGAGGCCAAAGCATTGACTGTATGACGGTTTGAAAGAGAGACTGTTCAATGGATTCTGTGATGCGGTTCTTCCCAACATCTCTGTGCATTCATGATGCCCTGCCTGTCTCTGTGGCTTGTGGCTCCTATAGAAGAAAAAGTCTCAGAGTGTCCTTTGTCGCCTACTGGTCGCCTAATGTTTGGTTCCTAATCAGCGGAGTGAAACACCAAGCTAAATGAACCTCGAATGGACCTCTTCTCCACATGTCTTCCGTCCTTCACATCTGGCCAAGTTTGGCTCCGGACAAAGTCCGAACGAGAGGACTGGCTGCTCTCCTCGAGACAAGAATGTTTGAAGAAACCAAAGGCGAAATTGCCAAAGCGAATGACTGTTGGATAAGTATCTAAACAATCTAAAAATCTGAACTATCCAACAGGAAAATCTAGTGTCCCAGAACCTGAACTGGCTGAAAATGTGGTTTTGCTTCCAGCTCTTTGGCTGGCACGAAGCTCTTGGGCTGGCCATACAACTCTAGACTTCTGGGCCTCGTCATCACCATCGCTGACAGTTGACAGAGAAAGCGCCAAGCTGTCTGCAGCTTTGGAAAGGAAGGTGCCTCGCGCAAAGCACCCTTTTTTACAGGGAGTTGTCTTAAATAAAAGACAAGCGACAAGCGCTTTCAACTAGTATTCATGACTAGTACTCACAGAGCACTCAGAATACTCATTTCAATCTGTGCCTGCAGACAACTCAGACGCCTTGGAGATTTGGCCTCAGCACATCTGTGGAACTCTGAGGGTGCCAGCGAATTGATTCGCCGAGTGGCTTGAGAGCCTCTTGGAGATGAACGATTCCTCCTCAAAGTATTGTGCGTATATGATTGTATGTGGATCATGGCGAGTGTGAATTTGACACACACATACACACACCGCTGGGCACTTAGAGACTTAAAGATACTTAGTGTGAGGGACTCTTCACATCTGTTCACTATGTCCTGGAAATTGATGGTGCTCTTCTCATCAGGCACACCTTGGGCCTGTGCACCTGCTGCTTTCTGCCTCAAGACAAAGAATTCTTTGGCATGCTTCACGTAGGTCCCATAGGCTCGTTCGCTCTGCATATTCAGGGAGCTGAGAGCCTAACATCTTCCATGCCAGCTCTGCAGCCGACGCAGGCAAACTCCCCATGCTGCCCTAGCAAATGAAAGACATCGAGTCACCGGCTGTCACAAGTGTCCAATCCAATGGATCTTACCAATCCAAGCCTCTTCTGCATCTGCACCGACACTGGCCATCTTGGGCTCATGCCGCACAACTGAGGCACAGTGTTGCTTCCAGTAGCCAGCATCAGCACAAGAAACCACGTTTCAATGTCCCCCAGCCCCACCCTGCTTCTTCAGGCCTGGAATGGCTTGCACAGGAAGAAGAGCGTCCTGCATCTCAGAACTCATGGTTTCTGCGGGCAAAACCGATTCAAACAATTGCAAAATGCACGTTTAAGGTGGTTGCGCCTTAAACTCAACTTGTGGCGCTTCGCCGAAGCAAGCGCACCACAGTCCGAGACTGTTCAGAGCACCGCTCTCCTGTATAAAAACATATATATAAACACCAAGTCTTCCAGCAAACAAACCAATCCATCAATAGTCTTGTCGTCTCTACATGTCTCTACTAGCAATTCAAAATCGATCAAACATATCAACGTGTTCCATTCAAACATGGTAGGCTCCAAAGAAACCAAACTGCCCCGGGTTCAAGCTCCTTGTTGCCGGCAAAGTGCAGGGAGGACTCACCAAAGCCGCCAATCTTCATATCGATTTGGCCCAAATCGCTCAGAGTGAGCACCACGCAGTAGGCCTTCTCCCGTGGGATCAAGTCAGACTCCTCAACGGAAGTCCGCTCTACAATTCACGCATTTTGTTCCAGCAATGGCCTCCAACCTAATAGCAATGTCCTCCAACTTCAGGTTTTGGTGCATGAACCGATTAAATGGTTTCTCAAAATATGTCTGGACATGTCACAACTCCTTGATGGCCAAATCGTGCAGCACAACTCTATGATGATTCCCCTCTGCACGAACCACTGCGCGGGTAAGGCTCAAAGATGTGCAAGACATCACCATGAAATGCACTGTGCCCACTCTTCGGCTGCCCCCGCTAGTTGAAGCTGGAGCCTCTGATGCCCATGCAATACACACTTCACTGTCAGAGTTTGGAAGCTTCATCAGCAAGGCATAACGTGCATACTCTGGGCTCTTCTGACCCCTGGCCAAAACTCGGTGGAACGCTACATCGTGGTAGGATGGGCATGAATTTACAGCTTTCATGAAAAGCCCCCATCGACGCTTCTCAGATTCCTTGGATGCCAGAAAATCTTCAGCTTTCCGGTCAATCTTGTTTCCTGGGTCTGGTGCTGCCAATCTCGTGAGATATGCGTCGAGCTGGGAAACCGCTAGGTTTTCCAAATCAAATGCTCGCGCCAGGAACAGCGCAGTTCGTGCCAAGGGGGTATTCGGCCTTGTAGAGTTGTGCGAACAATTAGCCATGAGCTGTATCTGTGCCTCGCCCCCATAAACGTTTCGCAATTGCTTGGCTGCTTCTGAAGGAACGATCTCATCATTCTCTGCGTGCAAGAAAAAACCAGGCACAAAGCAAGACTTGGCAATCTCCAGAGGTCTTGCGAATGGCATTGCCGGCATAACTTCAGATGAATCATTGGCTCTTGACACTAAATGACAAAGTCCTGCAAGCGGAGCTGACAATACTTCGGCTGCAACTGTTGTGAGATCGCCACCAGGACAGCCATCAGTCACCAGGGCAGCAATCGATGGATCCTTTGAGACCACAACGACAAACCTCTATGGCAAAACCTACTAGCTTCTTGTTCCTGGTAGTACGGCCAGGAGCCCCTAGTAGCGTCCTTGCTCCTAGTAGCGATGCCAGGAGCCCCTAGTAGCGAACCTTGATGCATACAAAAAAAAATCCCCAAAATGTGCTCAGTTACAGGCATGGTTCCTTTGAGGCATACTGCAAGGCTGCCACTGCTCCAGCTGAACGTCCCCACAGCGCTATACACGAGACAGGCGCCACGCCCGGCAGCCCATCACGCAGCGCTCCCACAGCACATTCCACGTCATCGAAGCAGCATTGGCTGTTTCGGGTCGGGGTCACATCAATGGCAAAAACGCTGATGCCCAAGGGCAAGACTTCCAAGCCTCGAACGTTTCGAAAGCAAAACCTGTTTTTGCATGTTTTGTCTGAAACGACGCCAGAAAGCAACCGAGCGTCAGAGAGGCAGGCATTCTTCAGCACCAGCACCTCCATCAAGCTCACTGGGACAATACACCACAGCACACCTCATGGCCACCAAGGATGTTTTTTTGGAACATGGACATGCATGTACATGCTAAGGTGCATGAAATCCAATGCCTATCGAATCCAAAAAAGACGCAAGACTCCGAAATCACCTTCAACAAAAATGTTGACAACACATCATGAGCTGTATTGGTCTCTTAATGACATGCAACACGTACCTTGTGGCTCTGCGCTGTGGGCCAGGCTCCAACCAGCGTGCCACGATGCTGCGGCGTCCAGAGCGCAAAGCGAACTTCGCCACCGAAGAGCAGGGCACGGCACCTTGGGAAAGACCGCTCAAGATCGGAACTTACTACCAATCCCTTATTGGCGTCCAACCTAATAGCGATGGCCTCCAACCTACTAGCGATGGCCTCCAAGTGACAGCAATGGCCTCCAACCTAATAGCTTTGGCCTGCAACCTAATAGCGATGGCCTCCAACCTACTAGCGATGGCCTCCAATCCTTTATTGGCGTCCAACCTACTAGCGATGGCCTCCAACCTAATAGCGATGGCCTGCAACCTAATAGCGATGGCCTCCAACCCACTCGTGACGGCCTCCGACCTAGAAGCGATGGCCTCCAACCTAGAATATGGCCTCCAAACCTCCTAGCGATAGCCTCCGACCTAATAACGATGCCCTCGAACCTACTAATGATGGCCTCCATTCCTTTATTGGCGTCCAACCTATCAGCGATGACCTCCAACCTAATAGGGATGGCCTGCAACCTAGTAGCGATGGCCTCCAACCCACTCGCGACGGCCTCCAACCTAGAAGCGATGGCCCCCAACCTAGAAGCACAAGCTGCTTCTGGCCCAAAATGCACCTGAGCGTGCTTCGACTTTGACGCCATGCACTGGTGGTCTCCCCCTTGAAGATTGGCCAGATCCGGGTCCCAACTCCTGGAGTGCTATGCCCAGCTGCCTTTTGTGCTGGATCTTGGTTTTGTTTCGGTGGCTGGGCAGGCACAGCAGTGAGGGTTGTCTCCTTGCCATGGAGGAGATGAGAATGGAGCATTCGTGGCCATCTTTTGCCCACGAGTGCTTCATGAAAGAACATGGCATGCTTCCCCCAATGGGCTACGGCCCTAGCAAACATGATTTGATGAGAACCAAGCATAGTGTTGCTAAACG